TCAATTTAAAAGAGAGAGCGTATCAAAGGTGCTTTTTCTGATTGTTTGATTACGGTGTAAAACATCAAGGTTTTGTACAAAGATTTATAAAGGTAGCTACAAAGATAAAAAAATTTAGTGTTTTTAATACATTTTTATTATTTAATGCTAACATATTGTAAATTTCGAAAAAATTATTGAAACAATATTGGTTAAATTTTTGTGAAACCTGTTTAATGTAAAAGTTAATACATTTATAATAGAAAATTAATTATTCTTTTTAATATGTGTGAAAATTCAAAAGATTTATTTTTGTGGAATGGAGAGAGTATTAAAGAATTTTATGTAATAATTTTTTTGTTAAAATGATTTTGACTTTGGACATATTTTTTTTTTTACCGCTAGTGTGATAAGCAGATAGAAACTATCCTCATTCTTCTATATGGCCCTAACTCGTACACAAAAATCTAATTTTTCTACCGCTGGTGTGGAATGTAGCAACAATTTTTTTGTTTTTTGTTTACACTAGTTAGATATTTATGTAGAATGTTGTGGAATTGGATGGAATGGTGATGATTATTGTGTACGAGTGATAAGGTGCGGAATTTCTAATGTTTTTGAATTTAAATGTTTAAGTTATTTAAACAAAAGAAATGTTTTAAGTTTAAATGTTTAATGTTTAAATTACTAATAATGTAAATGAATAAATTTTGAAAGTTACTAATTTTATAGGTAAATAACTAAAAATACTTAGAAACTTTGCTATACAGAAATAAAAACGAAACATATCAATGAAATGAGATAGGTTTAGGAATTTAATACAAAGATAACTATTTTTATAAAATTTAATACATTTATAAACATAAATATTGAATTGTGACAAAACAAAATTTAATTTAATATTTTTATAAGTTTAATTAATGTATTTATTTTCAAAAATTACGTTATATTCCGGAAGATTCAGCTGAACCATTTAAATTCAAAATTATTCTGCTAGATTTTGCAAATAATCACTAAAATTCAGTTAGAATCCGTAATTTAACCAAATTGTTTTGGAACCTTTTAAACAATAAATTTGAAACATTTCATTTTCTCCTTAAAGAGAGTTAACAGCCATTGCAAATGCCATAAATTTGAGTATATTAAT